GCACAGCCTGATCAGCTGTGTGTACCTGCGAAATGGCCGCCCAAATTGCACCCTCAATGCTGTTGTTTCCCATAGCGGCCAAAACCGTTCAAGCGACCTCACATGGTTGCTGCAATTCGTCTTTGTCGTGTCTGGTCCGGTCTGTCTTCCTTCGCATCAGTTCGTGTCGAGCCAAAGTGTGTGTGTGTGTGTGCGGGTGAAGTCCTGACGTGGGGGGGGGGCAAACCCGGAGATCTCAGTGTCAAGCTTGCACGCCAGTAAGTTGGGAATGTGGGTTCAGGATTCCCTCCAGTGCCTGCCATGTGGGCCAGGCTTTGTCATAGACAAACAAATGTCCAGAATGAGTTCATCGGAACTAATGCGGATGTCGCTTGGAAGCAGCCTTTGCAGTAAGGACCTGGGGCAGCTTCGGGTCGATGTAAGGAGGTAACATGCGTCTGAGCCATCCCAGGGCTCCAACGCTGCGCCATTGCCCGCTCACCCCAAAGGGCCTCAACAGGGCGAAGAGCACGCCCTTCATGATGGTCGAGGCTGCTGCTGCGGCTGGTTCCACTTTTTTGGCATGCTTTGTTCCGCAGGACTCCTCAGACGATGAGGCAAAGAAGGAGATCCCCATGTCCCCGTTCTTGACCACACCAAATCCGGTCAAGCAGACCAAGGCTGCTCAAGTCGACAGTTCTAATGCCCACGGTGTCTCTCAAGCCAGCTCCGCGCTTGCAGGTTCCCTCCCTGGTGGACACGACAGAGGCGGCTGGAATCCAGACATCGAGTAAACACCTGGAACCTAGATCCTTGTGCTAGGATCGTCGTCGGTTTCGTGTGTGCCTGCAGCAGAAACGACTAGCTGAAAACGTTTCAATTACGTCTCGAAAGGTATAGCTGAAATTGGCATGCACTTTTCGGATTGAGTTTAATGCCACAAAAGGGTGCCCTGGAAACTTTTCATGCCGACGAACATCGAACCAAGAACCTGACTGAGTGAACTTGTCATCTCAGTGAAGACTTCTTTACTCGTCATCGTCGATGGACTAACAACTCACCCCAAACGTGTGATTTTCCAGTCGCAGAACGGGAGACATCAGCGGGAAGGCTAGCTCACTGTGTGTTCGAGCGGAATCACTTGCGACTGTTTCGTGTTCGTACCTTTCAGATGACACCCTTGACTCGTTCCGTGAGCCGAGGCAGCCGCCAATGCAAAGCAGTTGGAGGAGGCCCAAATTTTGCAACGAACTGGACCTGGCGTTTGTCGCCTTGCCCCTGTGGATTCTCTGGTGCATCATTTGCTGTTGCGCTGCGGATGTCCCATCTGTGCTACAGATCACGCCCTCCTGCCCGCCTGTCGCAGGTGCCGGAAAGCCCTCCGCCCACGGTCCCGACACCTGCTGTGAAGCCGGAGGCACTCGGCTCGCCAGCACATGCACAGGATTTTCTCGAGTTTGAGCATTTGTACCACAAAGCATGGCGTCCCATGGTTCTTCTTAAGGGAGTACCTGGATGACAAAAACCGACGTTTCCAGAACGTTCATTAGAGAGTGACTCTCGAATCCGCCTGGCCTGTCAACGCTCCGGGCAGCTCTGAAGCCATCCCCTGTCAACACCGCGGCTTTCTCATTTACCGATATTGATGACTCTACGTGCGCATCTTGAACAGGACCTATTTCTGGTTTCCAAAACAGGGCCCAGATATCGGACAGACGTAACCACGGGAATCGGCCTCACTTACCGACCAGTTCGCTGGCATCGCAAGGTGAAGAGCAGTGTCTGCGCAATCCTCTGATGAGGGACTGGCTCCAGAGATGAGACTGGTATACGAGCGGTATATGCTTATACAAAGTGTTCGTAAGTAGTGTTTACGTTTGCTCTAGTGTGTTTTCGTAGGTGCTCTGGCGGTTGCCTATGCAGATACACTACTTGGTCGATGCGGGAGCGAAAGTAGAGGTTGCCGTGGTGAAATGGTGCGTGGGCTCTCGAAACTCCATGTGTGCCCCAACCGAGGGCCATCGTACATTAATTTCGATGAGAGCTCGATTATGTCAGACCTCAAGTGCTGATAAGCCCCAGCGTGCGCCTAGAAACCGGGTTCATAGCCAGCTAAGCATTCTTGAGCTGTCTGATTGCCTCGGGGAGAGAATATCTCCAACGAGATCGTTTCGTCGCACTTTCACGATGTCCCCTCGCAGGTCAAAGACGCTTGCATGCCTGTCTCGGATGCGGAAGCATGCCGCCGACATGCAGGGTGCAGATGCTAGATTTGGCATCTGCAACCCGTGTCATGCCCAGGGTTTTCAGCCGATAAATTGCTGCACGGACGGGGCGTCCACCACCAAGTGGTGTGCCTTCTTCGCATGTCGCGACATGACTGGTGCCGCGGAGACAGCCGATTCCTCTCCCTGCCTGCTAATTTCTTGACAGCAGCTTGAAACAACATCTTCAAGCCCTGCTCCTTGCCAAGCCTCAGTGACCTTACACAGCTGGGCCTAGGCAGTTCTCGACTGCAAGCCAGCTGGCGAGAGCCTGTGCCCAAGAACTAAGCATACTAAGCTATGGGGTACCGTGCTGTTTTGGTTGGGCGGCAACGTTGGTCTTGGCAAGGACGGCCAGTGGTCCTTTGGTCTCCTGTCCTGGTGGCCTCGTCTTCTCTGTATGAAAAGATCTATGTAAAACTACGACAACGAAGAAGCCAAACATGGCTGCTTACGTGAAGAGAGAAATCGCGCACGACTTCCCATATGAGCAACTCGTGGGTGAAACTGCACTGCAACGATGCATGCGCACGAGATGTTTCCCTCATGACAAAGACGAAGCTGGGGAAGTGAAAGAGACGTGATGCGCAATCAAACATAAAGGGGGGTTGGGGACTGAAATTGAAATTATGGGAGCACCAAACACATCGCCCAGAACGAAAACACAGCGCAACAGCCACGAAGACATGCGTAGCAGTGCCCCTATCTTCTCTTAACTCGGCATGAAGTAAAGAAATAATGCAACAAAGCCAGTATGTCTTCCACAGAAAGGTCCAAGGCATGCTGCACTGTTATGGCATTTGGAGCCAGAGAAGTTCTCAGAGAAGCGCCGGAAATGCGTAATTTTACAAATCAGTGGGAGCCGGAGAGCAACTAGAAATGTTGCAAATGACAAACAATTGGAGCTAGGAAAGGGGTGTCGTCAACTTTACCAAGGAAAGCGATCCTAGAGTCTTTGTTTGTCTTTTCGTTTGCGTGGATCTTTGCTGTTCGGCTTGGGCGGTGGGACAGAGGGCCTGATAGGATCGAAACATTGGCCCAGGCTACTTCAGCATCGTCGAATCCAACCATTTCCGTGAGCTGACTCACATTGCCGCTTGCGCAGCAGAGCGTAGCATGTGCCAGCACCATTGCAAATCACGGTAACACCCAAATCCTCGCGAGCCGTTGTAGACACCTTGTAGGCGCTTCGAGTTCGACAAGGTTCAGACGAGGCAAGCTTTGTTCTGCGGCCACGTTGATGCCGGCTGCTGCTTGGGCTTTCGCTATTCTTGTCTTGCAATGGGTTGTGATGGGTGTTACTTGTACAGCGGCATATGGTTGGTTGGTTGTCTTGTGAATTTGCGAGGTGGTGAAGAAGCACCTCGCTCACAAGCCTGCGACTGAGTCCGGAGAGTGGAAGCCCAGCCTTGCCCCACATGACTCCCACTCAGTAGATCTCAGTACTGGGTCGCGAAAGACTGCACTGCTACACGCTGTGAGAGCATGTGAACAGTTTTTCGGGCCTCGGTCTCCGTGCAATCCAGGCTCCGTGCTGCTCGAGCGGAGGCTGCGAGCCTCAGCCAGCGCCTTGCCGCCAGCAGCGAGGCCTCGCTTTGGCCTGCAGGATGCTCATCAACATCGCAGGATTGTGTGGCATCGTCAGGCGTTGACACAGAGCCAGAAGCAGGTGAACGAGCTGACGGCCCGTAGAAGCCACAGAAGAAGATCCCTGCCGATCCTTCCATTGCAGATTCACAGAGACATGGTGTTTTCATGTGTCTTTCAAGATGATCTGGCGGCTTAGGCCCTTCTGTTCGTAGTGAGCTATGCATAGGTGCGGGGGTCGTCGCCAACGAGCGAGCGCACCTGGAAGAGTCCTTGCAGGCGAGGGCCAGTTTTGCAAACAAATTCTGATCATCGGCAGCAATGCTGGACCGCGGCATTCGAACCCCTCGTCTAGGCAGCCCTTTTGGGGTAATCTTCGCTTGATTAAAATCGTTGTGGCCTGGATCGGTTTTGCATTTTGGTTAGTCTTAAGCTGGGTTGGGCTTGGCATCATGGAGGCCGCAGGATTCTGCCTTCTTAAGAAGCGGTCGCGTCAACAAGTAACCTTTTGAAGGATGGCATAGATCCCTAGATGCATTCCTTCAAGGCTACTCATCAGCGGGAGCTGGGTGACCTCAAGGATGAGCCCTGCGCCCAGGGAGTTTTTGGAGAGCTCTTTTCGGCCCATTCCTTGGGAGTTGCCAGGCACGCCCGGGCTCTGACTGAGCTGCAGCCTGGGCCTCGGCATGCCTCGGCTCCGGCCACCGGTCCCTGCAGAAGGTACCAGACCTGTTGAGGCGTTCTTCCAGGGAGGAGCGAACGCGCATGGAATCCGAGCATAAGCAGGCCTGGAGCAAAGGTGTCAGTCGCAATCTGTGTGCCACCGCTGTTCTTTGCAGAGGCATTGCGAGCTGCTTTGGATCGTGCACAGAGTGCCGAGGGCTCCGTGGAGGCTTCACTTCGACGCAGGGCCTTTGTAAAAGCACAGTTTCCGGCCTCCTACATTGTGATCGTAATCGTTATCCGAGAGGAACGTCCAAGTCCAGGGAGGGAAACCTTCTCGGTGTTGAAGCATGGCTGAGAGAGAATCTGCGAAAAGCTCGCTGCAGGAACTCAAGCGAACCCGGCAATCACTGACAGTGACGGGGGAAAGTTGTGCAAGCCTCAGACAACACACGACCTGTCTGCATCAAGCAGTGCTTGTCACGGCTTGTTTTCTAGGTTTGGGCCCAAGGCTGCTTGTTAGACCTGCATGTGACGCGTGTGTCTGCATCGTGCAAGATCCGTCTGTTGATGCGGGCGAGCTCATGCCATTTCCTTCACGACCTTTCCGCTAGCTACGGTACAAAAATGCGACAGGTCGCGAACGTCTGGAGGTGGCTGAGCGAAAGCTGAAGGAGGCCAAGCCGAAACCTCCAGTTTACAACAAGGATGCTACAAGCCAGTGTCAATCACGCCACGTCTGCGGTCGATTTTGGGATTTGCGCGCCGACATGCACAGCAGCACCAGCTGCTACTGTACCAGACATGCTGCGGATAGTTCAAGTGACAGGCCTCGCAAGAGACTAGCGAGCTTCGTTTGCAGCTAAAGCAGTCTGGTGCCTGGTGGTCATTCATACAGGCATTGTTGTCCATGATGTGTGTTTAGACCTATCTTCGTCCGCCTTCACCACAGAGCATTGATCTACTTCACACCATACCGTACTGATGCTTCTGCGACTGAGGCTGGAAGAGCTGAAGCCTCACCCTTACAGGGTAGGACCTGGCCGGGCGAGCTCCAAGCCTGTGTAGAGAAGGACCCAGGTTGGATTGCGAGAACGTCGAACAGGATTGCTGTGCCCCTCGAGCAGTCGCCTGATGCTCTTGAAAGTCTCATTTCTCCCATCTTCCCAGTGCACCGAGAATTGTGCGCGCACACTTGTGGCGCTTCGTGCACTCTTCATCCAAGCCTTCGGGCATGGGGCCTTTTTGCACTTCAGGTTTCGACACGAGCGAGACCTCAACGGCCTCCAGGTGTCGGTGGTTGATTGTTGGGAGTTTGCTCACCGTGCTCAGACTCTCGTGCCGGCAGCCTGAAAGTAATGATCCAGTCAGGGCTGGTGGCACCGCGGTAAAGTTCTCCAGTCAGGGCTGTGGCACCGCGGTAAAGTTCGCCACCGTTCTCAGGTGCAGCTGGCCTCTGTCAAAGAACAACTGGCCGTGCGCGAGCAGTCCCTCGGCTGTAAGCCTTGGAACAGCCACAAGAATTGCAACCGACTTCGCTGATCTGCCTAGGCACACGGCAAGCCAGGCAGCTCAGATCGAAGAGGCTGTCAGGGAGCGCCGGACGCTCAGAGTCTCAGAGTTCTTCGAGGCGTGTAGGCAGAGTAGGCGAAGCTTTGCAGAGCTGGACATCAAGCAAGGCAGGACGCTCGAGGAAAGTCTGGCCACCGTCAAGAAGCAGGCAGTTCTTGTGTGCAGACTTTAGCACTGCCAGCGTGGACGAGGAGTTTTCGAGTTTATTGTCTGAAGCATGCCATTGATAGGTCAGCAACAACCCTACCAGTTGCATCTAGCACACCATGAATATGACTCTGCGGTGCGTCAGCAATACTCTCTTAGAAAGCCATGGCCACCTATGCTTGCATCCAGACACAATGCTTGATTCCGCGAGCCACTGAATCTCTTAGCTGGACATCTGCAGCTGCTCCGCAGTCCTGTGCAGAAGCTGCGAGGCGGTGCGAGGCGGGGAAGGCGTGTGCTTGAAAATGCGGAGGACATGATGACCTGCTGCTTGCGCAGGGGCGCAGCACCACGCGAGTTGTTCGTTACAGGGCAAGAGCTTCCATGAGTTGAGCTCAGGCCCTGCGCTACCCTTTAGATGAAGCTTTCCACAGGCTGCAATGGCGCACTCTATGCAGCTGCAGGCGATCGAGGGCCGTTTGCAGAAGGCTCTTGAGCATCCTGGCAGATCCGGTTTTTTAGACATTCCTGAGGGCGACCCATTGGCCCATTGGTCGCAATAGTAATGAATGGAATGGGTGCTACTGCTGAAGCTGCTAAGGAAGTCTTGCTAGTGTCTGTGGCGTGACAGACAAGATGCCAGCAAGACCTCCGATTGTCAGCACAGCCGAGGCGTGTTCGATTAGTCCTGAGCACAGAAAAAACGCCACAGCTGGCGGCGAATGTGTATGGCCCTTAGTGCGTTTGCTTGCCCGTGCTGTGTCTTCCGTATGGTTGTTGCAAGCTTGCGTGTAAAATGCTGTATGAGCTCGAATGCCTTCGCAGCCTCCGAGGCACCACCAGTACAATGACAAGTACTTTCTGGTGGAAAGGAGCACTTGCATAGCCGAATCTTGGTTGCATCCTCGGGCTCTTGACTCCTCTTTGAACTCCCCCACTTTTCTGCCTCCTGGCCTCGGGATGAGGCAACTGTCTAACCAAGCGATCTTAGATCTTCTACAGTGACACTGGCATGAACTACGGCACATCGATGTAATCGGTTAACCGACTCGGGCACCAGAGTTAATCCACCAAACGGGAGGTTTAGCTATACCCTTAACGGAAGCTGTCTTCCAAACAGGCCGCGTCGCAGCTGAACTGCCTAGCAGCTCTTGGACTCACAGCAGACCAGCCGCTTGTGCTGGAATGGTCACTGCAAGCTGCGAAGCGAAGAAGCTTGTATCACTGTCCCCAGCAAGAACATCGACAAAGTAGTAGTGCAGGCACTTGCCACCGCAAGACTGGTAGAAGTTGTCGCGGGGCTTCCTATTGCAGTGGTCCTCTCGTTGTGCTTCCTTGTCAGTTGCTGTGGTTCTGGCAGGCTCCGCGGGCTTCGAGCTTGGATGCCAGCACAGGTCTCGCTGCGTTTCAGGCGCCTCTCTGTTGAGCATCATTCCTTCGCTGGCCCCTCTCAACCGAGAAAAGCTCGTGGGCTTCTTGAGCAATTGTGGTTCAAGCTGCATTGCCGTAGTGTGGGAGTCGAAGGTTGATCGTGTTGCCCCTATTGCATTGGACTTTCGATTGATTGGTTTATGCAGGTCTCAGGAGAAGTGTACCTTTCTTCGCGAAGAGAAGCGCGAGGAGGCGCAAAAGTCACTCGAGACAAGACGTCCTAATAGCCACTGACCGCACAAGAACCTCGAGCCGGAAACTGAAGCCAGGAGGATCCAAGAAAGCGCGTAGAGGAAGTCTCCGTGGGCGGCGTCGCGCGGGCCAGCTGGTCCAGCAAGGTGCGCTGTGTGGGTTCAAGTCATGCTGTACTCAGCCTTCCACTTATTGCCATTCTCCTTCTTACTGCACGACACGGTCATTATGATGCTTATGGATAGTTGTCATCATGAGTAGGCCCAGGCTTCAGGAAGCCTTGTAGCTGCTGTAGTGGAGGCTCTCAGGTCAGCAACACAGTTCGCCAAAGTTTTCAGAGCATGCTGTGGCCGCGCTGAGGTCGTGACGACCATCACGGAGTATTTCTGGAAGTTCGAGACCAGTTACACGCTGGAAGCTTTTCGCGGCGTTGGAGCAGAAGATGCCGACAGGCATTGCGGTCGTGCAAGTCTAAAGTCCTGTGCCCGAAGGTCGTAGCCGGGCAGGGCAAACCTGGCATAAACCAAGACTCCTGACAAATCCTGCAAACCCACCCATTGCTGAGTACTTGTCAGCTCCGGGAGGTAGACATACCTACATTATCGGGTGTGGTAGGCTGGCTCATATCCCAAGCAAAGGTCTCCTGGCACGATTCGCACCCTTGCCCGTGCTCGTAAGAATGCAGCTGCAGGCTCCTACTCCTGTCCAGGAACGGGCAGGTGGAGCTGAAGACCAGCGTTGCTGCGCTCAGTCGTGCCGTTGCCATTCTATGGAAGCAGCAGATCCATTAGAGGAGGTCTGTGTGCGGGTTGAAGCAGCGTATCCTTCGGCAGGAGTGTTATCTCTGCAGCTCTTCGCGAATTTAGGGTCCATGTTTGCCCTTTGCAGCAAATGAATGCGTTGCTGCCTGCGCCACCTGCTTGACAAGGCCAAATCGCCCCCGCCGCATCCAGAAGCACGGGTGCCTGCTGTCAATCAGGAGGCCAAGCTTAACTTGTGTTGTATGATCAGGCGGCAATCGGGCAAGGAGCGGCGTGATCTGCAGAGCATGCTCATTGCTCCACTTGAGAAGAATGCAACTTATCGAGTTCCCGACTCGAGGTGAACATTACCTGGCTTCTGCAGCTGTTATCGCAGGAAGGCACGTCCCCGCTCTTCAAGACGCTCAGCAGTGAGCATGTTTCGACGTAGCCATGCATGCCGGTTTGCACGCCGGATTTAAACACCGGAGCATTGGGGTACATGTGCGAGGGCCAAAGGCAAGAAGTGAGTCAGCTCAGGATCGACCGGGCTGCTACAGGATGCAGTACGCCGCGGCGGAACCAAGATGTAGACAAAGCCTTCGCGCACTTCACAATGTTCACTCAGTGGGCTTCAGGGCTGCACTGTACGTGCTGGTTAGGGCTGGGAAGCGTTTCGCATGTCACCATTCTACGGGTTTGAAGCTGTGGCCTGTTCGCCGCATGCTGACATGGCAGGCTAACGGTGTTTCAGACTACCTGCAACTTGGCTAGTCACTAGTCTCAGCCCAGTCTGGCGTCTGACCGACCCTTGTGCTTTTGGCTTCTGAGCGATTCTTGTGGGCCTCGCGATTGACAGATGCTCTCAGGCAACACCTCAGTGCCGTCGATCCCAGGTGCGCTTTCGAGCCCCTGCCGTGCTTGGACTTCATGGCCTTATAACATCGCGCTGTCAACCAAGAGCCGAGCCTAAGAGAAGCAACAAGAAGAGTAATAGTCATAACAGTAGTGACTTCAGAAGTAACAGCCGTTGCGACTATGATAATGATGGTCATCATAACCAAAGAGTCAGAACTAAGTAGCGACACGAGGCCCGGCTGCAAAAGCAAAGAGACCACAACAGCAGCAGTAATGACAAAGGCAATAAGTCTGTTTTTGGAGGACCGCTCCGCAGCTGCCATTGGAGGGCGTTTTCGCACCCATCCTGCCGTTGATGGCATCTTGTCTTCAGTGTTCAGGCACTACAAGTAGTAGTTTTCGTGCCCATGTACGTTACAGGAGATATCAGCGGTTTAGAGCATGGTGTTGGGCTTTTCGCTGCATCGTCGAGATGCATTGGCAGAGCGAGAGAGTCCACTTCATGCCGACAGGGGAAGAAGGAGTTTGCTTTGGTTTTGGGGGGATCTGCCGGGGATGAGACATCGCTTCGCATTATTTGGTTAGCTCCTTGGAAGGCATGCACGGGGGACCATTGGCACTTGGACCAACCATGCCCTAATTCGGGGAAGACCAGCCATTCTCGCGAGCCAAATGCTAGGATCTATGCTATGTCCGTAATACTCCTCGCAAGCAAGCAGGCAGGCAAGCAAGCCGGAGTCTATTCATTGAAGTAGTTACTGTACACTACCAGGAACACATATTTGTTTTGGTACGATCTGGCGGTGAATTTTTGGAAGCTGCTTAAAGAGCTCTGAGCTGGTACTCACAAACTCCTGTCTGACGTGATCACGCAGCTTGGTGTTGTTCCCAGGTGAGCGGTCAGACCTCCAGTCCAAGACCTGCAGAGCCAGCCGGCACGTTGCTTGAAAACGTCGAGCTTTGATGTATCCCTTGTGTGTCGACGCTGCTTGGACACTTTTCAGGTTAGCCTCACTGAATCTGGCCAGTGATGTTCCAGACAGTGCTGTCCTGAGCCCAACGACATGCAGCTTGCGGGCCTGCGGCACCGCCAGGCCTGCGGGCCTGGCGGTGGATGGTGATTCCGTTTCAAGATGAAGTACTCGTAGTAGTTACTGGCTGAGAAGCTGCGTGGTTGGTGATTGCTGACCATCCAGACGTCTGAGCTTAAGAACTTGCGTGCTGAGGCCTAGTCCTGTCGGTGTCAGACGGAAATCGCCTCCTCAACGAGGAAGGGCTTCGGGGTTGCTACGGGCAGTTCTTGCTTGACTGGGGTCTGGGTGGGTTCGTCGTGGACGACCCGATACACCCTTCCGGCATTTTGGTGGCAAGAAACTGCATTTGCCGAGCCGAGCAGATGAAATGCGCCCAGTACTTGCTAGCACACAGAGATGTTAGCCGCATTCTTGAATGTCGGCATGCTCTCATATTCATGCAACGGAAGCACGACGCACCACATCTTTCCTCTGCACACACGCACACCCGAGGAGATGCGAACCATGAAAGAGCAGCAGGGGAACATCTGCGCCCCTTGGATTAGACTCGTCAAGCTGTTTATTGACAAGAGGTTGAGGAGAGAGTTCTACCCCGCATGCCCATCTCTTCAGCAGTTCGATGCTGTTTCATTTCGTTTAGCCAGATCGACGGAAATAGTTTGATGAAGAAACGGTTTGAAGAACCTGACGGGGCCCTCCGCTGCTGCATTTGGCATTGCAAAGACAACATTGCATGATCGTAGAGATTGGGCTGCTATTCAACGACCCGCTTGAATGTGTCTGTACTGTGTAGGGTCCGTGTCTTGACCTGTGGGAGCAGAGGCCACGTGTAGGACTTTGTTTGACGTGTAGGTTTTGGCTCAGGCCAGGCAGGCCGGAGCGCAGGTCGGGCTCCCTAGTTTGTGCGCAGTCTGGCTCTGCTAAACCCCGCGAGCCGAGTTATGCAAGCGGAGGTGAGAAGGGAAGGGTGCGGGGGTGCTTTTTGGGTTTGTTTTGGCTTTGGGTTCTCCTGTCAGCCAGGATTGTGAAACGTAGTCTGTCCATACACCCATTGGTCAGTCCGCAGGCCAGTCAGTCAGTCAGTCAGTCACTCAGTCACTCAGTCGGTCCACGCGCCGGCCGGTCGCCCGCCGTCAATCAGGGTCCATCCGGGAGACATCCTGCAGTGGTCAGCATCCCAAGCCCGTCATTGAAGAATATGCCTCCTGTTTCGTCAGCAGTGCTTACCCGTCGGCAGGTGCGCGCACGGGGGGAGTGGGCAAGCCCTCCCTCTCCCCAGACCCCCCAAAGTCTTGTTAAAGCCAACTTCAGGTCTTGGGGTCCTAGTCCCTGTGTTTACTGTACTTTTCATCGAATAAGGTGTGCAGTGAATAGGCAAAAGCCTCGCCTCATCCCGGCTACTGTGTTTCTTTCCTTCGTCAACGAAAGACGCCACGGCTCAGCGAGTAGCCTTATCGCTGTGACATCCTCTGACTGCGAGCCAATAAAAGCACCGAACAAGCGCTTCCGAAACGGCCTCATGCCGGCGACTTTCGAACTTTGTGTGGGATCCATCATGACGCATGAGCTGAGGAAAGTCTTCCGGGCAATGATGGCATCTACACACACGTGGAGTGTGGGTTGCACTTGATTCTGCGGCATTGCGAGAATGTCGCGAAGCGCTGGAGTGAAATGGTGGAGTATGTGCTGGACTCAGAGGGCTACGGCGGCACACGCTTCTCCTCCCTCTCACTGAAAGATGGAAGCTTCAAGCGGTATTCTTAATGTTGCATACTACCGCGTTGTGCTTGAGTCCTGAGGTGGAAGGTATGCTCCGGAAACAGCTGATAGACGCTATTGGCAAGGAGGCGGCGTGACGGTCAGCGTAGCTATGGAGAATCTGCGACCAAGTGGCAACCCGCAATAGACGTTAGCTTTGTTAGCTCGGCTTCGAGACGCAGGGGCGCCAGAGGTTCTTATTGGGCGGCTTTCGAAGTTGAGGAAACAAGGAGCTAGCACTGGATCACCTTTGAGCCGCATGAGTCGTCGAAAACTCTTCCTAGATCAAAGTTCCGGGTGCTTGACGGTTCTGCTGTGCACAAAATAGTTGGGGAGATGATGCGACCGGATTTCGGTGGCCTTCAGATAATGATCCGGCACAGGTTACGCCGGCCCTCTTTGCAGCGTACATGCGGTTCCACTACCGCAAGCTGTTCCGACAGGCAAGATCCTTGTGGCCATCCGGTCCCAAAGTGCAGTTGACATGCAACACCTTGAGCAGCGCGACTTGACTACCATTTTCACAACCCCTGATTTCATTTGTTCTACTGTAGGTGCAAGGACCAGCATGCATGCATATATATATATATATCAGCACGTTTGAGCATTCGGCAGGCGTTTCAACCTCGCCAGTTCTGCTTCGCTGTGCGGCGGTCAGAGCGACACAGTCCAGAGGGAACTGTAAGCATCGAAGAGGATGCCGTGGGGCTGGATGAGTCCAGCATTCGGAGCCCGACATTTGGAATTGACTGTTGATTCGTGGAAACTGTGAATTGAAGAGGTTCAGTCTCTGATGTCTTGGTTCCACCGAGCGTCTGCATGAGAAGTCGATCTCTCAACCTCAGCACTTGCTCGTTGATGCCTATTGCATCCTACTGTCGGGTGTGAGGCGGTAGTGTCGGCATCCTACATTTTGATAGTTAGTGCCCGAACTGAAACCATTCATGCTAGGCTTGCTGCTTGACAAACTGTGCAGCCCAGGATCGTGACCATTGCCAACTGCGCCAGTGCGCCGTGCACCATGAGCTTTCCACTGAATGCATCGACGGAGGTGTCATGGTTTTCAAGCGTTTTCAGTCTGCTTATCCTTCAGTTGTGCGATCTCGCAGAACACATCGTCATGGTCGTGGCAGGTCTCCTTCACTGGCGACGTCTATCTGCATGGATGGCTGTCTCACCGCTTCTCAGGAGCCACAAAAGCAGAGATACGCATGAAGACCACTGGCTTTCAGCTACCATTAATCATTACTCACTGCATTGAAGGTTCTGGCATTTGTTGTGCTTCACATGCAGTCGAATGTTGTACGGCCAGGCGCCTCTGGTGCGGCACTGTACCTCACCTCCCGAGCTCGACAATTCAGCTCCATGCTGGTACTGGTTGGCCGGGTCGCATCCGCGACTTCCTTCGACCCCAAGTTTGCAGCAACTCGGGGGTGCATCTGCTATCCCTGGTAATGGGCCTTCCAAAATTGCGTACTACGGTTCCAGAACTGCAGGAAGCCTAAGCAAGCCGCCTCAGTCGGTGCTCCCTGTAGGTGAAGTTCAATAGATCGGAGTCTGAGACGATGAGGGCTTAAAGCAGCCGTTAGACAGTTAGACAGTTTCGTTGGAGAAAGCTTCCGAGGCCATCCTCCAGAACAAAGATGAGCTGACAATTCCGCTGGAGCTGTCAATGATACCTACCCCAAAGGCCGCAGGGTCACGAACACGAACTGTGTGGTGTTGAATTTGATTTCTATCGTAGCAGATTCTGTCTTGTGCGGACTTTGCGTAAGCCTGCTTTAAGCAAGACTTCGACTGGCAGGAGTTCAAGGATGCCATTGCCTCCCTGTCGCCGCAGCAGCAGGCCTTCGCCAAGGCCTTCCGGTCGATGCAGCCTCTGGGCTCATCCTTGCGTACTAGTCGTGGAAGGGCCCCATATATTCTGCTGAGGGGACAAGAACTCATGCATGACAAGGGTCCGGTGTTTGGCTGCCAGACTTGAAGATACAACAACAGTCAGCATTGACCCCTACCATTGACGACTCTTTCTTCGTAGAATCCACAGGTATAAATCGGTATAAACAAAGCCTCTCACAGTCAACTTCGAACGGGTACGGGGCTGCGGCCGTGTTGACTCAGGTTGGAGAGCACGCTGTTCGGCGTGCTGGTTGTCCAGATCAAGCCTCAGCTCGAGAAGCTCCTGAATTTGCCGGACGACAGCCTCACCAAGGTCGACAGTAGTTGGAGTTGGTGGCTTTGCCTTCTGTCCTGAGCGCCAGGTTTGCCCGTTCGTTGATTTCATGACAGGAGATCAAACTCACCCAGGATCTCATGGACCTGTTCATCAAGTACCAGCTGCCTGACAGTTGAGCTCAGTTTGGTTTTGATCTGACAGTCGATGGAGTCTGCTGAGAAGGGATGTGAATTGACGTGCCGATGTCTCGACCAGTTATGACGTCTGATTTCTTGAGGATTCCCAGCGACCTGTTGTCCTTCAGCGACGATACAAGTGCGGTCCTCGGACCTTTCCATGATCGGGCTTGCGTCGTGGAGCGCTGCAGCACTGTAGGTGATGCGGAGGTGGCACCAGCGCAGCGGTTGGAAATGGTCAAAGGCCACGTAAAGGTGCGGCTCTCTCAAGCACACTTGTCTCGGGAATTCGGTGCTGTTGTGATCCGCCGCGCAGGCCATGCACGACATGATCCAGCAGGAAAAGGAAGCTGAGCTGTTGGCGGCACGCTTCCGGGCTGAATCTAGAATCTAAAGAGCCCATCGGCCGCATCATGTCCTGGTGTGCAGCGGGCTCGTCGACGAAATCTTTCGAAGTTCTCTCATCTTCCTAGGCCAAGAAATGGAATATGGTGCGCCACAACTGCGGAGCCAGATAACGGCTGACTCGGACAGCTGTTGCACATGGTCACGTTGGGAGATCTTGTAAAGGGGGTAGTGGGGATACTCTTCTCAAGGGCATTGCCATGACTCAGGACTACAGTGACGAAAGCATGGGCATGTCGGTTCCACTGTCCGAGTGCGAGGAGTGCGACGAGGACTTTGGTTCAATGGATGGCGACTGCGCCGCTTTGCTTGCATATTCTTCCTGTTGTACAGCTCCGACTCCCATCCGTCCTCTTCCCTTGGCCTTCGCCTGCAGCTGCCCTGATCTGCCTCTATTTGCGAGGCAATGCCAATGCCTGAAGACTCTCTGCCAGCACAAAGACACCATGAGTAGTGGTGCTCTCTTCCAGCTTTCCACCTCTCCCTTTCCGGCCCTGGAAGGTAGGGAGGATGCCCCGAAACTTTTCTACTGGTTTCATTAGGATCTTGTAAACCAGGAGTCCTTGCAGAAACGCCGGAGGCTCGGTCGGCGCCCGTCGTCCACAAGAGGATGAAGGTGGAGAGGAAGATGGAGGAGGTGTGTGAGAAGGAGTCTGTGAGCGTGGACAAGCGCAGCATGGAGAAGCCCCTAGTGCTCAATAAGCGGCAATCTCGAGAGTCCAACAGCATCCTAACGTGCTTCTTTTGTTGACGGAAGTCGTATGAATTGGACGTGTTCCTGTTGGAACGCCTGAGGGACCGAGATCGAGACCGAGATGGTCGGGACGGCGCGTCAGCTGCAGCCTCCTCATCTGGCCGTTCGGGCCAACCCGCCCAGCAAGTGCAGTCGTCTCAGGCAAGCCTCCTTTCGCCTTCATCTGCCAACGCAATCACGCCGGAAGTTGTTCTATCGTCTATAGTTCAATGTCATGGCTGGCCCTGCATGTTCGAAGAGTGTCTTCAGAACAGCTACAGCTAGAGTCAGCTACAACCAACAACCGCTCTACCGAACAGAAGCAGTGACGAATTCCCATGCGAAGAAGGCCTCTGGGCAGCCTGGCGGATCTGGAGGCGGCTTGCCGTACGTCCGGGCCTCGGGGAAAGATGCCAGACCAACTCCAGCAATCTTCTCCTCTTGGTTTTCGTTTCAAGGTGCGGGATTACACGAAGGTGCCCAAGCAGATGGATGCCCAGTTCGAGACTTTGGCTCCGGACAGAAGCTGGGTCCAACAAGTTCAGTCATGTGCTGATACCTCCTCAAGAAAGAGAGGGAACAGTAGGGAAAGGACGTGGGTCTTGCCTCTGGTTGCACCTCGTCGGGTTACCTTTGGAAGAGTTCAGCTTGCATCTTCAGGGCCATACCTTGTGGGACCATGCACAGCGTGAAGCGAATTTTCAGGGACGTCGGAGCATGCCGGAGCCTGTTGTGCCTCAGGTGCTCTGCGCCCGACTATCATAAACCCTGGAGTTTGCTGGACAAAGAGATCGCAGAAAGCCTTGCTGGCACAGCCGGTGACGTCAACTCTCTTTTTCGATGATCAGAAAGCAGAGAAGGCATGGCTGCAAGGGAGTGGAAGCTGTTTCATCATGTGTGCGTAGGCCGTGTCGAGAACTGTCCTTGAAATTCTCTGGGGAAGGATGCGGCCTTTGACTTGCTGGATGCCATCACGAAATCTGGTGCTTTGCCTCTCAGCCATGCAGCGCTCCACATTGTGATAGCCGCCCGGCATGGCATCGCAGAACAATCACACGCTCATGCACGTAAGTGCGTGCACGCGTGCGTGCGTGTGTGCATGCGCGCGTGGGCCCACAGCTTGCGATTTGGCCCGAGAGAACTGATCCGACGTAATTTTCCGGTCCCACGACAGGACTTGAGTGACTTGAAACGAGCTGCAGGAGTTATCTGTTGAGTTGCGGGAGTCGACTTCTTTTTGGGTGGGGAGGCTGCGACGCACTGCTTCGACAAGACCGTCACGGAGACAGCAGCCGAGCTTTACTTGGCTAGTTAGTTGGCGTCAGCTGGTGTATCTTCTAGCTCCATCTGCCCTGTTCATGCAGAAATTCCAGATGCAAAGACGAATAGTATGGTTCCTGCGCTGGGATGACGCACACAACTCGAGAAGTGTACCAAGGAAGCGGGCATAGCCGAGGATTCTATAAGATACCCAAGCAGCTCTCCAAGTCTCGCAGAACCGGTTGTCTGAAGGTAGTGCAAGACAACGTGAACCCCATCGACAAGGTTGCCTTGAACATGTGGCAGCGGCGATTTGCGTGCAGTTGTTTGCTCAAATGCGAAGCTGTAAATTGTGCTGGGAGTTCGCCAGTGACGTGCTGCCTCAGCTTTGCACCTCGAGAGGTCGAGCGCTCTACCTTGATAGTTGCATCAACCGTGCACCAGCAGCCTGTCGCAGCTCTCATCGATGAGGCCAGACGAGTCTGCACGAAGCTTTCGAAACGGATAGTTGCTGTTGCTACTGTGACACTGGGCACTGGGCCCTGCAGTTAAAGACATCCTCCAAAACGAGGACGCATTCCTTCCACCATCAGCCTATCAGCCCTGCCGCAGGCCTCAGTGGCCCGGGTGAGCACCTCGAGCCCACAGCTCTTCCTGGAAGATTCGTAAGGAGACGCCGAGGGCTGTCCTTTGCCCAGTTCTGCACTACGTGGAGTCTGTACAGTTGCCGGTCCCCGGTGTTGGATCCTGAGTTCTACAGCAGGACTTCCGTGTGTAATGACTCATGTGTTGTAGCTTAGAGCGAGAGATTCTCAGATAGGCAACGGCAGCAACGTAAATACCACATTTGTAGCGGCGAATACCGAGAAACGAAAGACACGCACATGCAGGTGCCTGCCTAACCACCGACCTACCTACCGACAGACCTACCTACTTACTTACCTAGCTAGCTAGCTACCTACCTACCTGGCCAGCTAGGTAGCTACCTGCCTGCCTCTACCTGCATAGCAGCTTTGTGGGCTTTTCGCAAAGACTGTCGGGCGCTGAGCTGGTGACTCATGTTGGAGCAATCGTGCAGGACTGGGAGCTTCCCCAGTGTGGCATCCTTGTGCAGCTTGATGCTTCCAGGGGAGCGCTCGGGACTGCCTTGCGCCATGTTTCACCAGCCGAGTTATTTCCGTCGGAGGCATTGCCAACGTCATGCAGAGCAAGTAGAACTAGAACCAACCAGAATAATGACAGAAAGCTCAGAGATGTGATGCCTACTTGCATCCGCTAGGGCCCGGTCTCGAATCCACCAGCCGATTCAGAGAGCCTCTAGAAGCCCCTTGCAGCTTCCAGCTATCATTGTTGGTCTATGGCTACGGATGCTGAGATGCGGTCTTGCCAGTGTACAGTCAGGCATGCTTGAACCCTCCTGCATCTCGAAACACGAAGAACTGTGATCAGCACAGTTTCCTATACGGAGGTCTCATCTCAGCCCGACTGTGCCTGTGGGCAAGTTGGGTTTCAAGCATTCAAGCCAGCGTGATGGATCGTGTCGCCAGGCCCAAGCGCTGGAGGACAAGTTCAATCTCTCGGCGCAGGAGGGCTTGCACCACCATTGTAGGTCAGAATGCAGAGGAGGCGACTTCTTCCCCACACCAAGTGTCGAGCTGTTCTGAGGAGATTACCAAAGGCAACCGGATCATTCAGAGCTTGCACCAGGCATCCAAGGATGCGAAGGCACGGTGAGCAATGGCTGCATGTGAGACAGGGATGATTGGATGTTTGCAGCTTTGCATCAGGCCGCCTGCATATGTTTATAGCCAGGGCATTCTGTCTGGAAGGCCAAGCTGCGTCTCAAAGCCAACGAGCTAATGCAGCATGAGAAGCCGCGTCCCAAGCGAGCGGGATGGGCCAGAAGGCTGCAACATGGCGTGTGCCAACGCCCACATCTGTCGCAGTGTTCCTTCGCCTGCGTTTCTTGTTGTGCCATGGGCTCAGGACAAGGCTAGAACTGGAGAAGGCCCATGGCGGTGTCAAGCTGCGTGCAGTCAATCTTTTTAGTGACATGCGGCGAAGCACGGATCGGGACCACAAGGGATTGTACTACGTGCACACTGATTGTTTTGCGTGTGCGTCTGTGTGTGTGTGTAGATGTGTACATATGAGGACCGTTCCGAGCCGTGCCACCATACATCTGCTTTGACACGCTTTCGTATCAAACGCACCTGGCCACAGGCCGAGGAGCTCAAGAAGCATGCCCTGGAGGAAAGAGGCAACGAAGTGCCAGAAGCTCAGGGCACGTGTGTTGGAAGAGCCTGGTTCAGCCACTGCCTTTTGGGGGCTCTCTCTTCTGTGCTCTCCTCGACTGTCAGGATGCGGGGTAAGGTCCTGAACTTAGTCCGCTGAGCTGGTGCGGCGGGGCGGGGTGCGTTGGTGCAGTTTAAACCTCCGCGTCGAGATCTCTGGGCAGTCTGGTATAGGTCTTAGTCTTGTGCTTCTCGTGCAGGGCATCAGCAGACTTCTAAGCAGCCCGGCGACTTAGGCTCGCGAGGAGAAGCTGCAGCAGGACATCGAGGACCTCAAGCGAAAGCTGGCCGTGTCCTCGCTTCACCCGTCGATTCTGCTCCTAGCAAGTATTGTGTGCCCAGGTCGAAGCTCATGATGTCATGAAATCCAACCAGGAGGTGCTTGTAGAGTGAACACCTGTAAGCTCTTGAGCGGCATCACTGCAACACAGCAGTTCTGGAGAATGATGGAAGAATTGCAAGTGGAATGACTACCGCAGCAGATGGCTGTTCAGTACACGTGGTCCAGCATGTGAACAGAAGGTACAGATCCCGCGTTCCTGCGTAACAACGCAGCGGTGAAGACGAGCGGATGCGACTTACTCACGCTGGGCATGAGCAGTGCGCACACGACGTTCAGGCTAACACGTGAGTTCCAGACGTGTCCCGTTGCCATGGCTTGGTACCGCATGGTCTGCTGAAGGCAAAGCATGCAGCCGCTGCTCGGTGATCATATGAACTCTTAAGAACCGCTCATAACGGCTCAGTTCTTCAGGATGATGCTTTGTGACGATATGCACATCTGAGCTCGATTCGCCGGGGCAAGGTCTGCTGGGACTTTGTTGCTGCCAACGGCCCCATTACTGACAAGGGGAACTAGGACACCACTGCGGAGCAAGGCCCAGAAAGCCGAGCCGACTGAACCTGCCGCAGAGCGGAGTTGCTTGAGGCCCCGCCGCCATCCCTGACCGTTGCCAGTGCAGCTGCGCTGGCAACGCTGACGGCGCATGCAGGCGTGCGCTTGCAGGCGAGCAAGAGGCGTGGAGACTTGGGACGAACTCACAGCGGTTTAAATTTAAAGTTTAGACTCGGACCTGCCGTGCACATCCCCGCACAACATGTCAAGGCCACCCTCGAATTTCCGTCCTGGCCGACGAAGGGCGAAGGCCTCTTCCAAGAGTCACGCCAAAGTGCTCATGCCCCGCTTGTCAGGTCCAGGTCGCAGCCTCCAAGCACTACGAGGTCATTCCCCGAGAAGGCATTTGCTTGGGCCATGTCTTGTTTTGGGGGCAGGGCTTTCGAGGCTTGCAGGCGAGGTCGAGCACGTTCAGCTCGCTGTTTATGCGGTGCTGGCGGCGTCCTGTGAAAAGCAGACTTGATTTCGGGCGCGCCTTGCTGCAGGCTGTGCATTCGGGGCCTCCGTGCGGGGTTTCAGCGTCAAAGAGGCCCTGAATGACAAAGCGGTGATGGAGCAGATCCGCTCGGCTGCTCTACTCAAGGGACGCAGTAGATCGCGGTAGCAGTCACTAGCACGCTGTATTTTCAAGGTTTTCAGGTGAGATCATTGGACGGTCCACTTCCTTTGCAATGATCGGCAGTGGCAGTGTGTAGACCGTGGAAAAGGGTCAATGACCGGCTGCGCCAAGGACATGTACAAATACCGGCTGCTAATTTTCCATGGGCAGACCGACCTGTTGCCAGAGGACCACATTAAATTGAGCGGCTTGGCTACATCGGCTACGTGTGAAAGGAACAAATGCGCTTTTGACACACCCCGCATGTCGCGCGATTGGCTCCCCACTAAATCCTTTGCCGAAAATGCCGAGTTCCATGGTTAACTTACAGTGCTGGGCGTTGAGGGTGGCGGCGAGGTTCCAAAATGGATTTGGATCAGCAGCCAGTAAAGTTCCAAACAAACGTTGCCAAAGTCTGCTTGTGAAATCGCTGTAGAAACTAGTGCACCGATGATTTCAAGCAGATGCGGGAAGTCTGCTGGCCTTGACTGGGGAGGGGGAACGGCTGTCAACGTAGCACTGCCCTTGCCCTGCAGGTGAGCATCTAGGCTCACTAGAGCACATCCTTCATCGGCCGCATCCGAAGTCACCGGATCCTCGGCTGCTACGTGTGGCCAACGACGACCGAGAAGGCCGTTCGCAGCGTGTAATGGCCGCTTCCCCCTTGCTGTCCCTTCGGTTGCCGCGGGTTAGGGGTTTTAAGGTTGTCCAGTTCTCCATCCATTTTGCGCCCTGACCATGCTACAGGCTTCATGTCGGTGGGCACTAGTGGTTGGCATGTGGATGGTGTAATGCTCCAAGCGCCGAGGCTTAGCAGCAGACAGAGCAGTTTGCCAGAAACGTGCCTGCAGGGCAAGCATTGCACCAAATCTTACTAGCTAAGGTTTGCTGCCCAGACTATGCACCATTTGTGTCAAGTCAGCAACGACTTGCATGACACTCCAGCAACAGATTGTCTGTGGGCGTGACACGATGGCAATTTCCTGTCAGTTGAATATCGAGAAAGGCATGCCATACCTGGTGGCGATACCATGTTTCTGGGACTCAACGAGCTGCTGGAGTCAATGGATGAAGAACTCCGGTCTCTCTGTGAACGCCTGTGGTTCGTGCCTGAAGCCCGGTCAGCGGTAGACTTGCTCGGTGCCCGCATGAACCAATGCGCTGCAAGTGCCAGGTCAGGTGTTGGGGAGGACCTGCAGCAAGGTGAAGGACAGATGTCAATGTTGCCGCTGGTGTACAAGCACCCCTTCACCGGGGAGAAGACCATGTGCTTCCACTTGGGCCTGGATCCCAGTCCTTCACTGTTGAATGCCGGGTTCACCTCAAAGTAGTAAGTAGCCAAATTCATAGCAACAGCTACTGTATTGATGGTTGCCGCAAGAGGGAGTTGCAGCGCTGTCCACCAGGTTACGTCCTGACAATTTTGCACTCACCAGCCTTCTTCCGACTGAAGACAAGGTCAGACATATTGCCTGGGCTTTGTGGAGGAGATTGCCTTGAATGCATTTCTGGAGGCGTTTGCAGACGTCACCAGGCTTCCAGGAACCCAAGTTCCAGCCACGCCTCAGACTTGTCCACTTTTCCGGTGCCAAGGTTATGACTCGGGGGGACAAGCTGTTCAAGGATGCACGCTCATCGCTGCAACGGGTCCTTGCCGGACCAGAGGACAACTGCCCATCCAATTTTCGGTCTCTTGGATGCAGCATGGTGTACGTGGCCATGCGTTTGAAGATGAAGGCGGGACTTGCCACTCTGCGCTTTCGTCGCGGTCCTCGGCATGGAGTTGTTGCCGTTTGCTAAGGTTTTTGCCGGCTCTGCCTGTGCAGGCTGGTGGGTTAATTACCTGCACGCGAAACACTCGCACATGTGGGAAAGTCGAAGAGAACAAAGGCACGGGTGCGATGCAAAGCTTTGCCAATCCAGCCATGCTGCAGGATGCGCTGCAGAAAGCCATTGACGGGATGGACCCGGAAACTCACCGCCGAAGCATTCTGCGAGTAGAGTGGGACAGAGGCGACTTGGCACCTTCTCTGCACAATTCTGAGAGCACGTGCCAAAACAGTCTGTGTGTCATGCAGCACAGCTGGAGCTTGGAAGATTCTGCCGAGGCGCTGATTGACAACATGGGCTTGGCACACCTTCCGGCCCCTGGCACCCAGTCACTGCCTCTCATCAGTGGACCGGGCGCGCTACTTTAGGATGTGGCTGCCTGCGATCATGAGACTTGTTCAGAAGCGTCGGTAGCAGCAAGAAATTGCTGTGAAGTTCCGCAGGACTTCGGGTTTTCCATCGGACCACGATGATAAACCCAGAGGTTGGTGGCTAAAAATCCAGCTTTCCATGACTCTTCCAAACTCAGCTGACACTGAAGGCAGTGGTCCGAAACCTTCGAGGTGCTCCGTCTGTTCTGCTCGGAGGCCTTCTTGCGCTTGAGCATGACCTTCTGCAGATTCGAGCTTGTCTTCCTATGAGGCAAGAGGCGGGACGGCCCGATATCAGACGAAGCCGTTGAGGATCTGGATGCCATGGGCCACTTGTCTCGAAGCGGTTTTCCTGCCGTCATTGTTGTCGCCAGCCCGACGAGGGCGAGCTCAGCATCCCAGTCTGCATGATCACCGAAAAGCTTCATAGTCTTTGCGTGAAAAGGTACAACGTAGTGTTACCGCGTAACGCCGAAGTGCATGTGTGTGTGTGTATATATATATATACACAGACATCTACATACACATGCACACAGAAGCATGGCAGTGCGTTCTGCAGTGTTATGGCCACTGGCAAGCACTGTCATGCTTCTTGCCGGTCTTGGGTTTCAGTTTCATTTTTTCTTGCATTGATATTTGCAGATGCTTTCGCTAAGTCGAGTGTAATGCTATGTGTAACAGACCTTGAGTAGCTCTGTCCAGGCGCTATCCTCCGAGCTCTGATGGCAGCGGCGCCCATAAACGAAGACGAGTTGGGAGGCGGCACCTTCCTGAAGTCGTTGGGAGAGTTAAACCTGCGCATGTCTCCATTGAGGCGACCAGAGAGGTGGGGATTTGCAGATTCCAAAGAACGCACGCAGCCTAATTGCAAGTCCCCACACAGTACCAGTTCTGGAACTGGCCAGAATTCGGCAAGAAGTTCAAGGGCAACCTTACCTTAATCACACTATTTGCTAAGGTGCCAGCAAGAGAGGAAGCTTTGCGGGCTTTAGAAGAAGCCCAGCAACCTCTAGAGACTTGGCTCAGAAGCGACCGTGAATTTACTTCTGGATCTGTCAGCCTTTGTGCTTGCTTTTGGCAATCACGAAGGACATGCTGAAAGACGTGGATGCAGAGCTGCAGGCCCGGTGCCCATTTTTCGCCCTGAGGGAGCTCTGGTTTGTGGCGTCCTCCTTGAGGCCGCCACCAACCAAGGCAAGGAGACCCTCACGAAGACGCTGAAGAGGATCCCATGCCCGTCATGGGCAGCGTTGGAGAATCCGCAGCCTCGATGAGTGATCCCATGAAGTGTTGGGAAGGCTTATGATGGAGTACCATCCTGACCGGAACCAGAATCGCGAGAAGGAGATCATCCCCATATTCAAGCCACCGGGTCGCATGTACAGCTTCGATTGAAAGAGACCAGCCAGCCGATACCGGAGGTATCTTCGCCGGCTTCGCAAGGAGCAGGGGCGGCCAGCGAGCGTCATGGCGCAGACCAAGGCCCAGCACCGAATTTTCCAATCTTCGCTGCCATGCCTTTTGCTCTGGGAGCGTTGTTAAGCGACCATGCCGCATTCTTACCATGTCGTCCAGTCAGTAGGACAACACTTGGACCTGGAAGGATGCGTAAGCCAACTGAACGATCCCTGTCGCTGTTGAAGTCCAGACCAAGTGTCCAGTAGCATCCCCATGACGTAAATCAATTTGGCAGTGTTCGTGTTCGAGCTTCCCATGAAACCGCCGATCTTGGCGCGTAGCTTGTTGCCGGGTTCCAAACTTGGCCCATGATTGCAAAATTCAGACCCATGGCCACCGTGGCCATGGCTTGTTCCTGCATCGTGCTCACTGTTGGGCGGCGACAGGGGGGTCCTCAGGAGCCGCTGGGCGTCGATTACGAGGCCGCTGAGGCAGCGGTCGAGAGCGAACTTGAGCTCGTGGGTTCTGAGCTCCGCTCTGCCCAAGAGTCTGAGAGACAGGCATGGGCAAGAATTTCAAGCGTTACCCAAGTGGGGCCTACCCTGGATGACATAGCAGCAAAGGTCTCGACGAACTTCTTGATCTCTACCGAGGATGTACCTCCTTCGGACCCCCAAGGGGTGTATTGGCTGCAGGTCCAGATGTCGGCCTTCGATTCGGATGGATGCAACCGCTTCAAGTCCTTGGTGGCTGGAGAGATGCAAAAGCTGCAGTTCCCCATTAGCCTGCTGCCAATGACTTGCGAGGGAGCAAAGCTTCGCGTGCGGTGCCTTCCCCGACCGCTTCCTCATGGAGCGCCGGCAGCCCTTCAGCTGTTCAGTGCTCAGATCCACAAGATTAACATCACAGAAGGCACCTTGGTGGATGTCAGCGACATCGTGGCCAACAAGGACGCGCCAGTTCTCGAGGAGATTTTTCAGGGCCTTCGTTACGACTTGGACGTCAGCGTAACGAAGGCTTTGGAAAGGCTTGTCGTTCAGAAGCTTGAGGATTTCGTGGCAAGGAAGGCTGACCACAGTGTGGCGATGCTGGACAGAGGCAACTGCAATGCGGGCGAGCTCCCTTGCAGATATGCTTGGGAGGGTGAGTGTTGCAGTACGAGTAGCTGCCAGGACTACCTTGCTGAACAGTGCAAGTTCAACGCCACCTACTGCATGGAATACTGCAAGGCCACTCTCGAGTCAGCCAAGGCAGCCGGCATGGACCTGGTCCAGCAGGTGGTTGGTATGTTCAAAGGTGCATCCTCAGACCTCCGCTTGGCATACGACGACGCGAAGCGGCGAGAGCTTATTCAAATGACGCCCTTGTTGAACATGTCTTACCAGAGTCTGATTGGCAGCCTGGCGGACAATCTCAAGAGCCTTCCTCCGTATCTGCGTGGCAATCCCTGGGCCATGTCTCTTGCCAGCATACTCGAAGGAGCCACAGAGACAATGGACACACTGGACTTCGTCGAAATCAAGAACTTGCCGGGCGTGAAGGCTGTTGTAAGCCTGAAGAACATGCACCCGTTCAAGCTTTTGGGCAGCATCATGCAGGACGTTGGCCTTTTCAAGCTCCTCCGTCAGACGGCGAGCGAAAGCCAGAGGAACTCGTCTCCTGGTTAACGGGGCCAGTCTTGCGTGGATCGTTGAAGGAAACAGCCCGGCACAGATGTTCGTCTTACGGCTTGCCTACAAAACAGTGTTCATCACGGGGCTGTGGGAAATCTTGCAAGGGTTTCTCTAATTAGGTGTTTTGGGCTTGGTAGGGTTTTACATGGAGCTTCGAGTTTCTACAACGGTTCTTTTTTTTGTAAACGGCTTTGAGGGATCATAAGGCTGTCGGGGTCTTGGGCTACTGCTTGTATCTGCTTGTTGACCGTTGCGGTCCTTCAGTCGTGGTTTCATGTTGGAATGATGAGCGATTACTTTGAATGCATCCAACAAGTTTGATGCCAGGGCCGTGTCGTCGACCGGCTACGAAAGAAAGCCACTCTTCTGCAATCTGCTGCTAGTAGGCTCCGGAATGTCCGAAGGTTTTTCTTCGCTTTGAGGGTCGCCCGACTTGGCCAGCTTTTCCGCACATTGTACGGACATGTGTTGCTCGCAAAATCGATCTAGGCAAGTCTGCATCAGGCTGTGTGCAATTGGCGAGCTTGATTGACCCAGGAGCCGTACTGTAGGAGGCTCCACAAATGAACGATCCACATGCTGCATATGTTAGGCTGCCAAAATTTCCGTTGGCGTGCCTCGGATGCAGCAACTGCAATTGGCGGCTGGAGAGTTGCAACACTGCTCCAAAAACTGCCTGTCATGCAGGTGGGCGAGGAGGTGGTCGGCTGATTGTAAGCAGAGTCTGGCTTGGCCAAGGGCCACGTCGCTTACTCACAGAATCGCCCGGCAACGATTGGTGTTTGGGCAGCTTTGCGTAGACTTACAAGGTGAAGACCACCTTACAAAAGCACTCTTCACAGTTTTCTGCTTGGCCACAAAGCCGGGCATCCCTGCTGAACTCAATTGTTTAAGTCTTTGCCGTACCCTCACACCGAGTGGCTCAGGGGGAGGCTCTGCAGTATGTGACAGTTTTCCGCGCGCTTCCAGCGAGTGGGATGCGAGCCCGAGGGTCCTGCAGATGCCAGAAGCTGCCCCTGACTTGGAGTCGAGGAAGAAGTGGAATGGCAGGTCATCGAGTACCTGAACCGCCAGCTGACGGACAGAGACCTCAAGGCCGACGCGGACAGCCTTCCGTTTCGGATCGTTTCGCGTTCTCTCGGGTCCCAGGCTTTGCCTGGGCCGGCCAGCCCTTGGAGCCCTTCAGCCTGGGCCATGGGGTTCACACAAGGCATGTGGGGGCCTGGCGGTCGGTGTGAGCCCAGGATGCCAGCGCTTCGACTTTTCGGGCTGGAGCCGGCTCAGCTTTGTCAGAAATCCTTGGGAAAGTTGATAGCCGCCTCCTCGGAAGCTCATGGAGACATGTCGAGTCGATGCGTTCGCATCCTCCTGCTGTCTTTATGCTGCGTCTGGCTCAATCGGATAAGACTGATATTCTTTGAGGCCTTTCGCGAGTATACGAACCGCCAGCAAATTGGATGTGTACAGTTGCTCTTAGCTGTATTGTGATCTTCGGCCCTGATGTTCGTGCCGTGCCTCCTGCTGGAGGACTACTTCTGCTATAGGGTAGCAGTTACGGCGAGCTGACATGGAGTGGTGTATTTCGCTAGGATGATGTCCTGGCGGAGCCACGGGCGTTGGAGGGACCGGTTGTTGAAGTGGTGGCATCCACCGATTCCTTCCGACAACTAGCGAAATGCCGGCTCCATGATGGAGACCGTGTTCTCGAGATAGGCACGGGGTAGCTAATCAGCTCCGAAGCCGCAGTTTTGTCAAAAGCCCTCGTCGAAGTTGTAAGTGCGAGACGAGTTTTGGTCAAACGGTTACCTGCTTAAACTTTCGTTGTGAACGCTCTCCGACACTCTCCGACTTACAGCACACTGGATTTGAACGAGCATTTGTTGGTCAGGCTGTTGCTTTGGACAGTGCACGGTCATTCTGGCGGAACGTGCCGCTGAAGTACTCGCACTGGACACATCCAAGGTCCCGTTGCAGAAAATGGTATCTTGATATTAACTTCCCGGTATAAATAATACATATATATATATGTGTGTGTATGTATGTATGTATGTATGTATGTATGTATATATATATATATAATTATGCATTAGAGAACAATGAATTCCAAATCGAAAATTGGTTTCTAGATAATTATGAACTAGAAGGAACGAATATCAAAATTAGATTCTAGAGTATTTCTCTTGGTTGCAACATTCTTATACAAACGGAAATAACATGATAGAGGGACATTATTTTTTCTATAGCGTTGGTACTGAGGAATGTGTTCAGCTCACCTCTCAGCGCCTGCGAGAAGAACGGCTGGCGGAGCGTGCACGGAGTGAGAGGCTGGACGTGCTCGCTCACCCGGAACTGCTGAGGATGCGCGGCGGAACGTGAGTACGTCCTGCAGTGTAGCAAGTAAGAGTCAATAAGGGCCACCACGTCCGAAACGGCAGAATGGCAGACTGTCCAAGGATCCTTGCCTCCTGCAATCCTCCGTTTTCCGTGGTCTTCGTGGACATTGGCGGCAATCGGGAGCTGAACCATGTGGTGGAGTTGCCCCAGGACAAAAAATTGGTTCCGTAATGATGGCAAGAAGCCATCTGAGCCCAATGTGGGGCCAGTATCTAAACTCCATAGTGTGAAGCATAAAGTTCGCTGAGTTACATTGTGAGTGGGCTGGGCGAGCGACGGGCCCAGGCTTGAACTCCTGGACCGGACGATGCAAAATCTCAGCTACGTAGCGGTGAAGAGCGAGGCTCTGGCGGAGGCTGGCTGCCCAGGGCTGCCGTGTTTGGCCTGCAGAGATCTGCAGAGTTTCGACATGCTTCGGCAGAACTTCAGCATGTTGAACGATGTTGCACGACCCTCCTGTCTGAATGGTTTTACATTTTAGGGTCGCCATGTATGGATTGCACAGCTGAGCTGACAAAGAGCTCACTGCCATCGCCGGCTACGAGGCTTGCCGGTTTTGATTTCTACGCCTTGCATTGCTTGAAGGCATTGGTGCACGCCCCGTTGAACGAGATGCGACTTCAGTGGTGGAAGGACGCAAGCTTACGTAGTTATCTGAGTATGGTATGGACAACCGACTGAGTGTGCTGAGCTGGTGTTTGAAGCTGGGTGGGGCACTGCGTCGCGCTGGAACATGAAGAAGTGTCTGTTTTAAGGAGCTCACCCAGCAGGTTTGCCGAAAGAAATCGCCAAAGCGGCCCATGCAAAAAATTTTGCAGCACCCAGTCCGCAGGCGGGCCACGGACTTGCCGACTGCATGGAAGCTGGTGGAACTGAGCAGTGGCTCAGAGTCGTAAGTCTTTCTGACACTGCTAGCTTCCCGAGGACGCCTGAAGGCAAGGAAATATGTCGCTTCGCGAACTATGCCGAATGCTCCAAGGGGAAGGAGCGGCGCAGTTGAATGCCTCAAGCCTTAGCTCGGCTACAACCCTGCGAAACAAGCCTCGATTGTACCCCCGAAGTGTCGGGTTGCTACAATCGATCAGCTTTGTCCTGCGAGGACTGCAGGTATGACCACACACATTGCCACTGCTGCGGTGCTGAGGGACACTATGCTCGTGATTGCGTGCAATTCGAGGACCAGCTTCCAAGAGAATTGGGAGTTCTAGATGTGGGTCGCTCGTCGGAGATGGAAATCTGTAGAAGACCGTAGAACGGTGACCATACATTGGTTGCATTTTATTTCCCTCTAGTTTCGCTGGAATTTTGCAGTACGTCACAAGGGCGTACCGGCCGTAACGAAGTGCGCTTTGAAAGTGTCATAGCAAAAGGCTACATAAGATGTTCATCTATGTTCATTCATCTCAAAAACGTACTCAGCCTTTAACACCATTCCCCGAGGCCTTCTCTACGTTTACCATTTATCCGCAAAAATGCAGGCTGCTTGTGATTAGTCGAGTAGCCTTTTCGCGACAGGCCCAGAAGATGCTGTTCATTGTTGAAGGTTTTCCAGCAGAGGATGTGTAGTTGCATAGACCCACCTATGCGGCAGTCCAGCGAGTACTCGTAGCAGCCTGTTTCCTTGTCTTTATCACGTAGGCGCAGAATGAATAACGGCACCGGCTTTGGAAGGGTAACCGGGGGGGGGGGGGGGGGGCTCACCTGCTACCCCTGGGAGGAGACGGACCAGGTTGATGGTGAGCCTACCTACAGTCTCTGCTCACCTGTGGCGCAACGACTCTACAGTGCTCTTCGGGCTGGTGGCCGGGACCAAAGCACAGTGGATGGACAAAACGAGCAGAAAGACCATTGAAGAGCATCTTCACCCGACAGCCGGCGGCAGGTCTCCCCAAGCGGAAGACTCTGATCATCACGGCCAGTTTTCTGCTGAGCGACGGCACATACACTGACTCATGCACGCTGCTCGGAAGAGTCATTGTGCGGAAGACTTGAGCAACACGCAAGACGCCTGCATGGAGCATTGCCTCAAGTCGCCATCCCGAGTTGCTTGAGCAGTTGTGCGAGCCAACCAACTGGGCGAGAGCTGATGCGAGACAGTCGTGAACCTCGAGCATCGGTTGTCGCTGCTACAACTCCACCGCGCTTTGCTAGCATCTGCTTGCATAAGCTTCAGTTGCAGTTGACTGTGCGACTCTCCGTCTCACGAGAACATGTGTAGTTGATCCGTGCAGGCGGTGCAAGCAGAGAAAGAACCGCAAACAGCATCGCTTCAAGAGGCATCTGCTTCCCGATGAGCACCCGCCACAAGAACATCCGGCTGCACCCTCAAGCCTCAAGCCGATCCAGGTCGCCCTATCCCAGGAAAACGAAACTTATGGGACAAAGACCGACAAAGGCGTGCATGTAGTGCGATGTCTTTATTCTCAAGTACTAGCACGGAAGGCATTTTTCACAGCGGCCTTACTAGCCTTGGTTGATTCCGAAGTTGTTCGGTGTGAGGTTTAACTCTGACCTGCTGTCTCCGCTTGTTTCGGAAGCTGAGCCTTGCAAAGAAACTAGACCGTAACCAAGTATGCAGACGAAACTCAGAACAAAGTCGCACATACACAACAGACTCTTGCTCCATGTGGCTGGGTCACAGATTCTCAATGCGTTCTGGGTTAGCTCGGAGCTTACCTATCTATAGTGTTGAATTAAAAAGGTTTCGTGTGCGGTCTGATTGAGACCCTACCCTACCTGTCTGAGTACGACACTGACTCCAGAACCATGTGACCTGCATACCTTCTGACTTACAGCAGTTTAACATCGAAATGCGATGAGTAGAACGACAAGCGCCCGGAACAGCGGGAGTTCAACAACAGTTTTTACGAACATGCTCATGCATAGCAACAGCAACAACAGCTGCATCGGCATTGGAAGGACTACAATACTAAGAGCCATTGCTTTTGAGACATGCAGAGAAAACTGAGTCCTGCCACTAGCTCAGCTACTACTGTATCTAGGGTGAAGGTTATAGTAATGCTGCAAATCATGTCCGCCGTTGACGGCCGCATCAATGTCTGTTTGCCAGAGCGACGAAGCAGCACAAAAATCAAAATGATAACAGCCACGACTACTGATTGCTTTTGTAACCAAACATAGTGCCGATACCTACTTGCACTAATATTTCCAATTGGGTCCCGGAGAACGTTGTCTTTGACCTGACCGCTTCGGTCTCAATCCTCTCGATGGCAGCTGGCACTGTCCGATGTCGGGGCTGCGTTTGTCGGCTGCACCGCTTTCGTGGCTGCAACACATCGCCACGGGTCCATGGCGCACCTGAGCAAATCATTGTGTCATGGCTCGCTTCCCGCACAGACTCCCTGCAGTCACAAGCTTTCCGACACCACTGCGGCACCTCCATTAGCCTGTTGCCGAGGTACCGATGCTAATGCCTGCGTCTCGAAGGCATGCAACTCTGACTGAGCTCGATTCCTGCCGCGGTTTGGAAACGTTTTTCTGCGGTGTTCTGCACAGCTGCCGGTTTGTATGTTGCTCCGGTATGAAACTTGGAACAGTGACGAATCACTTTCACATTCCGCCCTGGCCTTACCTGCCGAGGAGCATCGAGATGATGGTGCTTTCAAGCGGTATCTACCTGGACCGAAAACGGGTGGGTCACTAGCTCTTCAGTCCTGCCATGTTCGCAGTGTTGTCTTCATTGCTTCGCGTCAGGTGTGTGTCGATTTTGAAGCATCGGGATGCAGTCATTCGAAGCATGTCTCTCGCTGTAAGTATCGCGATGTGTAGGGATACATTATGTGTGTACACATCTTCCAAAAACCGCAGACACACATAAACAAACACATATCAAATACATGCATGCATGCATACATACGCAAAGCACATGGCACATGCCTACCAAAGAGAGTAGGAAACACCTAGAACAGATTATGGGGGGCCGTTTGTGAAGGTACGTGGCTGTCTGTATACGTGTACGTGTGCATGCATGTGAGCTTCTGACATACGCGACCGGGCATCCGATGTTGGTCTGAGCAGTGGCTGGCCGAGTCCGCTGAAACGCTGCATGCGGGGTGAGGATACATGCATACATACTTACATATGTGTATGTACACATACATATATAGACATAACACATCTGTGAATGTATACAAGTAAGTGTGTGTGTGTGTGTGTTAATGTAGACCGTGAAGCTCAGGTTCGCCAGGGGCTCGTTCATCGCCTGGCGTAGACATGAGCGAGTCCGAGATTCTGCACTCGTGAACGAATCTATCCACAACTTGTTGCTTCGCAGAAGGAGTTGTAAGCTCTTGGCGGGTGTCCCTTAGTGTGAAACGGTCTGCCGGATAAAGCAGTTCATGCATGATCAAGGTATGAGTTTCTCAACGTCGTTGGTGAAGGCACTCGTTATGTGCTTGGCTGTGTTGCCATGCAGTCGTGAGGACTGCCATGGGAGAGAGACAGCGATCAAAGCGGCCATGATGTGATAGCACGACTTCAGACCGTTTGCAAGTTGAGAGTGTGTGAAACCTCGAAACGGTGTCTCGTGCAGGTGGCTTTGGGACCGTCCACAGAGCCAAGCATCGCCGAACCGGCCTCTTGGTCAAGAACTGCTTGAAGTGAGGAGAATGGCAAGTTGCCGCTCAGCCCTGCCTCCACTGAGCTGGCCTGAGGTGAGATAGTAGCCATCAAGAGCATCAGCAAGGACAAGCTGAAGGACGAGGAGGCATTGCAGATGGAGGTTGAGTTTCTGAAGCTCCTGGCCTCAACAGATATGAGGTTTCTATAGACATCACAACACTTCGGCACAAGCAAGGATGGTAAGCTGAGCTTCGGGAGGTGCCAGTGTCAGTTTCAACAAAATCTCAAGCCCCGATGCAGCACTCGTGCAGGACTACCACAGTCGAACCTATCGGCTCTGGCCTGTCATTTGGAACCCTACGCAACCTTTCTGATCCGAGGTTGTCTGATCATCCGAACACCGTAAGGTACTACGAAACTTTCGAGGATGTGGCTGGCCTTCATGAAGAAGTGTGCTTTTAAGGGTTTGGCTTTGAGGGTTGTGGTTTGGGGCTCATAGGGTTTAGCAGTTCACGGTTTGGGGTGCCGGCTGCAAATGTGTTGGAGGGGCCTTTGAGCATCGAGGCAAAGGATATCCACCTAGTGATGGAGCTCTGCTCTGGTGGGTCGCTGGCCGAGTACATCGAGAGCCCTGTCTGGCAAGTCAACGCTTCCGTGCACTCTAAGGTGCACGATGCGTGCGAGTCGACAAAGGGGCTTTCATTTTCGGAGTCATGTGCTGCTGGGAAATGCTGGCAAGCAGTCATGATCCCTGCTGAGGAACGCCCATGACTCCTATGGGCCAGGTGTGTCAGAGGACGAGCTTGCACGGATTGCAGTGCAGATCCTCAAGGGCATAGCGTATTGCCATGCCCACTCGGTGCCTTGATTCGCAAACATATCTCAAGTCTTCCAATCAATCTGCGCCGGCCACATGCCATTGCACCCAAGGTGGCTCACAGGGACATTAAGCCGCAGAACTTGCTCTTCAGCTGCGGGGAGCCTGCTGCTGGGAGCGCCATACCGATTGATGCTTGGCTGCCGCGCGTGAGTGGCGAGTGGCGAGTAGCTGCCGGCTAGTTCGATGTGTCTGCACTGTGAAGTCCGCAGGCTTGCTCTGGCGAGGGCGATGCGCCCCTGAAGTTGGTGGACTTTGGCATTGCTGGAGTGGTGAGGAACGATCGCCCCGAGAAGCGGCTGCTGACGAAGTGCGCTGGCACTGTGGGTTATATGGCCCCAGAGGCACTCCTTCACGCACGCAAGTTCACGCATGCGGAACCTTTGAAACGGCCACAGGAGCAGAAAGCACAGAGGGCCATTGCTTCCATGATGCTATCAAGGGAGGAAGTCTTCCTTGAAAGACAGCCAGCGCATCGTGACACCCCTTTGCGCACACTGCCATGAAGCTTACTGCCGAGGTTCTTGGGGTTTTCAGTAAAGCAGAACCCCACGCAAAGGAAAAGCGTCCAAGGGTCCGAGGAAGGGGGAAAGGAAAAGGTGGCGCTCCTTGAAGACCTGGAAAAGCACAGCACCCCGCCCGGGACCTGCGTCAACAACGCAGTTCGTTCGATCTGTACCACGGAGTCATTGTCCGGCAGCATGATGTTGAAGCCATGTGCACAACGACAAGACAAACGTGCTAAGTCTGGTTTGGTTTGCTTTGTACATTTGCTCGAAAGAAATCAGCTCGATCAGCAAACAGGGTCGAAGCACACTCCTTAACCTGAACAGGTGTTTGGATCGAAGCCGTATGATGGAAGATCGGCGGACATGTTTTCCATTGGCGCCGTGATACATCATATGATGGTGGCTTGGCAGCAAGCTGGAAACTAAGATCCTGCTTTCCTCACATGAACAACTTCTGTTCGCATGTGTTTGCTATGCAAGATGTTGTGACGATTCGCATCCAAAGCGCCTGTCACCGACCGACAGAACTAGTTGTTCAGGCGATGTTCTTCCTGTTACTATTGTATGGAACTACGTATGCCTGTTTACTATGTGTTGTATGTATCGATCTATCTACCTATCTAATTATTTAACTATCTATTTATCTACCTATCTATCTATCTATCTACATGTATGTATTTATTATATTTTTGTTACCTGTTGCCATTCATGACTATCCACACCTATGATAGCGCAAGCACAGGTCGGCTTGCCTCCAAGCTGGAAAGCTGTGAGCCTTGGCCCAGTGGAATCCCTCAGAGGACAGAGAGTTCATGAGACAGACAGGTTATTGTGGGGCTTTGGGTTCATGAGGTGACATGTCAACTCTCCAACTTAGCCAGGTAGGCGGGTTCCAGTTCGTTGCTTGAGCATCTCAGGAAGAGTGCCCCCCGTCTGCTATATATGTCGGGTGGAGGCTGAAGACTGTGAAGGGTACTCGGGCCTCGCGAGAATGTCTGCATTCCCTGCACTGGCATGGTCTGTGGTCGCGTAAGGCTTACGACTTTCCAGGGCGGCTTCGCTACCAGAGGTTCTCCGAAGACTGCCGGTCACTCCTAGAACACCTGCTCCTTGGTCATCCTGGTGCTTGCATTTTTCCTGGGATGACTTGTGCTGTGAAGCGACGGTGTACCAGGCTCCATGAAGAGCCGGAGATGCGGCCCACGGCTGCAGAGGCCGAGTTGATTCATCACCAGACATGTTGAATCCGACCTCAAGTCCGGGTGCAGTCGGTCGTAGATTGTTAAAATCGGCCTTCCCCTTGGCTCGTTGTGTACCACGGGCTCTCTCGCACAGTGCTAGTATTCGATACGGTCCTTTCTCAAGTGGCGAATACGTGATCAGCTGAGGCCCTCCGACATTCTTGGTTCGAGAGCAGAGGCATCCATTTGCAAAGTCATTACGGGGATCGCGAGATGGTCCGGTTCTCAAACTGGCCTCGGACTCGCCTCGCTGATAAGTCGAGTGCCGGGCGCTACAAGGCTCCACTCCTCGAGCAATGCTTCAGGACTTGGCTGGCTACTCGTAACTAGCAGCATGGTGTCGTGCAGACCGTGATCCTCCTACACGACCACAATACTGATCTAATCTCATCCATATGGAGGGACAGGGGTCATGAATGAAGGTCAACTTCTGGCCACCTGGAAGGAGGATGCACCGCTTTTCTCAGCGATCGCAGCTGCAGAAAACCGTCATGCCAGGGCCCCGATGAGCGCACACATGGCTTTGCCAGGGCTCGGTGCCCACGTCTCGGAGGTACAGTATGGTGGCCTTCGCGCCTCTGCATAACCATCATATGGAACGGCTTCGCCGCCTGGCGATCACAGACAGCACATCTCAAGCAATGGGGTCTAGCAGTGCAGCATTCAGATTTGTGAGTAGTAATTGTCGATGTGCTGGTGGCTCGGAAGACGAGCGTATCATCTCGGTTCTGTGTTGAAGGCTTCTTGAGGTGATACTCTGAGTCATCTGCTGAGGCGTGGCATTCTTGTTCGCGGATCGAGGTGCGGAGGGGACGGCCTTTCCACATGGCATTATTCAGCAACCGATAATTTCTGATTCCCTGAAGGCACTTCCGCAGGGCATCTCATCTCGTTAGCATTCACGCGCTTGTATTTCCAATCTGCGACATTCTCCCATCTCATGGAACAAGAAGCTTGGATATCTCTGGTGGCTAAGGATAAGCTGCTTCGAGTTCGTCGAGTTGGGAAGGAAGTACAGCTCCTTCTCTTCCACTGAGCTGCGTCACATCTTTGCCACAGCAAATGTTTCCAAGAGCGGTAAGCTTTCATACTGAGCCTCGGCTGCACTGTACGGTCAGCTGATCCATGTACATGCCCTCCTCACAAGATGCTCCAAATTGAATCCACATATATTTGTGCCCTGCAAGACGCTCGAAACTGCCACAGCGCATGCCGAAGGTGAATGGCTAACAGCTTCTGCTGATGATCAATGGTACCGGATGGAGGAGCATGCAGCGAGGGCGTGCTTTGGCTAAGAGGTTTTAGCGCTGTTTTCAGGAGGATTAGAAAGAGAGCGCGCATGCCTGGCTCGGAAACACAGATTGAGTGTTTGTGCTAGTCTCACCAGTCGCCGAATCGAAATTGTAGTAACGGTGCAAGGTTCGATACGTTGGACGTGAAGAGAAATGGATGTCTCCGTGCTTGCGATCTGCGCCGCTGGCTAGCAAGATCATGGTCGACCAAGAAAGGTTTGGATTTTGAAAACCAGATCTCCCAGACTTGGCCAGTATCAGTGTCACATGCAAAGCCGAGGTCAGCTGCTCCCCAAGGTGTCTGCAGCTCAGTACATCGGGAAGGGTCTGGGATCAAGCAGAAGTCGCAGGAGTAGTAGTAGTAGTAGTCGTAGTAGTAGTAGTAGTAGTAGTAGCAGGAGTAGTAGTAGTAGTAGTAGTAGTAGTAGTAGTAGTAGTAGTGTAGGAGTCGCAGTCGTAGTCGTAGTCGTAGAAGTAGAAGTATTTGTAGTCGTCGAAGTAGAAGTAGAAGTAGAAGTAGAAGTAAAGTGGCGGTAGAAGTACAAGTGCAAGTGGAAGCAAAGTGGAAGGAGAAGTAGTTAGCTGCAGCAGTAGCAATAGAAGCAGGTGAGTAGTGGTAGTGATGGCAGTAGTAGTAGTAGTCGTCGTGGTGGTGGTGGTGGTGGTGGTGGTGGCCGTAGTAAGTTGGAATCGTAGCAGTACTTAGTAGCAGTCGTCGTCGTATTCTAGTAGCAGTAGTAGTAGCAGCAGTAGTAGCAGCAGTAGTAGTAGCAGTAGTAGGAGCAGCAGCAGCAGCAGTTGCAGTAG